AAAGCTTCTTGCTAATACGTTCTAACTCCAATCCTTATCAACAAATTCTCAAGCTCTTTCTATTACTTCACGAAGCTATCAATCAAGAATTGGACCATAAGATGAAAAGATAATAATCCAAACTCCTTTCTTTAGATTAAAATGCAAAGCATGACTAACTTTTTAATACCAATATGAATTAGAAATTCATGGTTCTATACATTCAAACAAAAGCAAAATTCAATATTAGCAACCCTACATCATATTGTCTTTGCCTTGATTAGAATTTACTCCGTAGAAATAAACAAGTTTACAAAAATATAGAAAAAACTAGAAGACATTACAAACAACTTTTAATCCCAACTTTCGTTTTGGATTAGAGTGGTGTACCCTTCTTCGTTCTTCCTTCTTCTTTCTTGCTCCTTGTCATTTTTTTGCTTTTTTCAAGATGCCCTAATCTTTGGGATCAGTTTTCCTTATAAAGCACGGGGTCTTCCTCCTTAAAATTTCAAAAATATCGTTATTTAACATTATTTCGTCAAGTTCCCGCGCGATCGCACAACGGAAATCACTTTGAGCAGCCGACCGCGCAAGGCTGTCAACTGCCACCTCCCATTCTTTCTTGCCCATACGATTGAAACTTGATGATGCGCAATTGCATGGGTCTTTTCATTCCCATAAAGTGTAATTTTCTATATCTTTTGATTCGTTTAGCTCTAATTTTGGGCCTAACTTCACCTTACACATTTAGCAAAGAAATTAGCAATAGCTGCACAATATAAGGCCAAAATAACTAAAAAATCCTTTCAAATAGACCCAATAACTCAAGACTATTACTCTCATCATAGAGCTCAAGTATGTGAAACCTCATGATCAAGTTGCGGATATCTTTACAAAGCCTCTCAAATTTGAAGATTTTCAGAGATTGAGATCAAGCCTTGGAGTAAAGAAGAAAAATCAAAATTAAGGGAGAGATTTGTGGGAACAAAGCTTGACAACAACTAATTTGGCAGTCACACTTGTGGAAATTACTAGTCACAAATGTGAAAAATTGACAACCACATTAGGGGAAGTTGGTAGCCAAGTTTTGATAGAGTTTTGATGGAGTTTGACAACCAAACATTGTGAAAATTGGTTGTCACATTTGTTTCACTAATGATGTAATCAAGAGGTTCAAAACTCTATAAATGTAGTAGTAATTGAACATTTGAAGACACGCCAAAAATAGAAAAGGCAATAGAGAGTAGAGAGAGTAATCCACAAACTATTTCTTAGTTTGTGAGAAAATAGTGTGAAAGTAATATTATTATGAGTTGTAAGAAATAAAAGAATTGTTCTTATTAAAGAATAGTAGTCTTTTGACACTATCAAGTTTTCATCAATAAAATTGTATTACTTACTCGGGTATCATATTTAACACATCTTAATATTTGATGTCGATGTTACTCTATTGCTATTACTATTTAGCGTGGACATTATCCTGAATGTGATTATCATTTTTTTCAAAAATTTTAATATAAGTTCATAAGACTAAATTTTTATTAAGCTTGAGTAAATTATTAAGTGAGAAAAATAAATTTAAAAAATGGAGTATATGTATATTACTTTCGAAATAATTTGGCTTTCAGGGATATCGGATTATTACATACATTATTATATACCATTAATTACCCAAAAAGACCATTCGGTCATCTTAAAAAAAAAAAAAAAAAAAAAAAAAAAAAAGTCAAAATTTTGACATTTAATAGGACTCCTTAGCCACACTTTCAATATTTATTTAAGATGTCAATATTTTAGTTTGTTATGTATTTGATTTATTGATTTATGTATTTTTTTATTTGTTTGATTTCCAAGAATATAATTATTGTAAACCAATAAATTTTACATTTTATTTGCTCACTTTACCATTCAAATTAAAATTGGTATTTTACTTTCATAGTGAAAACTACAAATCTACAAATTGTATCCTAGTGATCAAAATTGTATTACATGACTGCCAAATATATTTTTCTTTTATTTGTATTACAAAAATATTACTGATTATATCCAATATAATCTAATCATTACATATAAATATGATTTACGAAAGGAAACAAGATTTTGGTAAAAAGTAGGATACATAGTGAAAATAATACAATCTATTGAGGAAAGATATAATATTCTAAAAAAAAACCATACATAGTGAAAACAATACAATCTATTGATGAATGATACAATATTCTAAATAAAAATATACAAACTGGTTGTGAAAAAAATAAGATACATCTATGCTTAAGAAATACAAATCAATTTGACATACCTATTTGAACGACTACAAACTAAAAAAGAAATACAATGTTCTTGATAAAAATATAAATGTTGAGTAAAAGAAATGCAATGTTCTTGATAAAAATACAAATGTTGAGTAAAAGAAAAACAATTGACAAACAAAAATTAATATGAATACAGTTCTGGTATGAATACAATTTGCAACCTTCTTCTCCTTTGACTCTCTCTTTCCTCTTCTTCTTAGTCTGCTATGTTATTTTTTTCTGATTTTTTTCACCAAATTCAAATCTGAATCCGTATTCACTTGTGCATATATTAGTAACTCTATAAGCAAAATTCAAAAAATATTAAATATGAATGTATAAAAATCAAACAATATATGGTGTATGAATGCTAATGTAGATTACTACAATCTATAAAATCTCAAATATGAAAGCAAAATCACAAATAAAAAAAATCGAACAATAGTGTTTAAAAGACGAAAAAATTCGCAATACATAAAAGAGGGAAATCTCATAAAATACTTGGTGAATATGAAAACAACCTCACAAAAAAATCGAACAATATTGTTTAAAAGACGAAAAATCTGAAATACAAAATACGTGGTGAATATAAAATAAAATCACAAGAAATCTCACAAAATACTTGTTGACTTCGAATTTACCTTTATCAATGGGTGAAAAATCTTTTGAATTAATTGTGAGATTTCTTGAACAAAGTGTAGAAAATTCGAAGAGTTGATTTTCTTGAACAAGAAAAGGAGATACAATGGTGAAAAGGGAAAGAGAGAGAAATGAGCAATTATGGGTAAAACCTAGAAAGAGAGGTAAGTGGGTAATGGGGATATTTTATTTTATTTTTCACGTGATAATGGAGTAAAAAAATGATCCAATTTGGGCCTGATTTGAGAAATGAAAGGAAAGGTAATTAATTATATTATGATACAATTTATTTTCTAAAATATTGACATATTGACATTTTTAATAATTATTTTAAAGTGTAGATGTTTTTAATAATTATGTTAGTAATTGTGACTAGTTTGCTAATTTTTCCAAAAAAAAAATAGCCAAATCTTTTTTAGACCTTCATCGACTTCGTCCTTGTTCTTTCTCCTCTTTTTTCTTTCATTTTCTTCTTCTTCATCTTTTTTAAAAATTGATGTATCGTGGACGTAAATCATTTTAAGTGAGTTACTTTTTTTATTTAAAATATCAAAAAGATTTTATATTTAAAGTTTGGGACTGTATAGATGTGATTTTGAGTTGATCGAGCTTGGCCAGTTAATGTATATTTTATGTATAATCAGTGTATACTTTATAAATAGTTAAGCTATCTTCAACATTTTGAGTATATATTATAATCTAGAGTATAGTCAGTGTATAACTCATGTATAACTAAGTTACATTGTACAATCCGTATATATTTTTATGTCTTTTCACAAGCTATATTATATAATCGAGTATGTACTTTTACTATTTTTTTATGTAAATAAAAACAGGATTATATTTATCATGAACGAATACTCTTTATATATATGGGCAAAAGGGAGTATATTTTAGGAAAAATTACAGAAATCTCACCTTTTAGTTTACTTATTATCATTATTCCCTATAAGTTTTACAAATTTCCAAAATTCCTCATTTGCGCGCATCAGATTAGTGTATCTCGCGCATCAAATTAAAGTATCAGCGCTTATATTATTGTGTCTCGCGCATCAAATTAGTGTATCATGTATAAAATGTACATCATATTAGTGTATCATGTATAAAATATTATGTATCTTACTTAACGATTAATGTTTCTCGCGCATTAAATTAATGTATCAGCACTTATATTATTGTATCCGTTTGAGAGATTCCTGTAATTATAAATTTTTAAGAGATAAATTGTAATTTTACTTTAAAAGTATGTGATTTCTATAATTTGCCCTATATTTTAGCCTCAAGATTTTGTGGGGAATTAGTATAATTAGGGCGAGTCACCTCCCGATTGTAAAACAAAGTGCAACGTGTCAAACATAAAAGTAAAGGAACCAAAAAAACTGTTATCCGCCGCTCGCCGTGTGCATATCCTGAAAAAACTATACAACTTAATATCAGTACTGAGAAATGTTAAAATGGATTTTGGCGGATCTGTAGCGGAATTACAACACAGGCATGAACATCAATTATACATATTCAGACCCAAAATCTCTGCAAATTTCTCTGTATTTATTTAGATATGTTTCTGTATTTAGAAACACTAATTCGGTTCTGTTTTGTCGTTAAATGTTGTGATTAAATTACATACAAAATACTTAGTAGTGTAAGGCAGGTAAAAAATTGATTCATAGTGTGAAATTATTTACATTTTCATTACACTGCAAATATAAATTTGTGCCACAGAACCAGCTTAATGGAAAATGCATGGGGGAAAATAGATTCACGTTAGTCCCTGAACATTTTTCAGTTGGAAAGATAGTGTTTTTTAAGTAGTGCGTGAAATCCATGCCAGGTTTGAGCATAGTTGTCTTTAAAAAGGAAGAACGATACACAAAGCATCCTGTGTTACGGGGAAGCTCTACACCCCAAGAGTTACAATTTTGAATTCTTGCCGGAGCTGAAAGAACTTTCTACTTGCTTCTAGCATTCTACTTTCGATTACCAGGCTTTATGGAAGTGCTTTTGTTTTTTCCCCTCTATCGTAGATTAAGCTAATTGCATTGTTGTTTTTCAGGTTTGGTTAGTGTTTTAGAGAGAATTGCAACAGAGATCATGTGTCATGGCATCATTTTACATCTCTTTCGATGTGAATATTTATAGAGATCTCCACGAGCCTGCTCTCGTAATTGGGGGATGCTTTGTCTTGGTAGCATTGATCCTATCGCTTCTCTTAATTTTTCAGCATCTCAGATACTATACTAATCCATCGGTGAGTACTCAATCAATTTAGGTATACATGGAGGAGTACTCTTTATTCTTATTTCTTAGAATGTAGGATCTAAATTTCCGTTTGCTTATCAGGAACAAAAATGGATCGTGGGGGTCATTTTCATGGTTCCTGTCTATGCAACTGAATCAGTAAGGATATAAACCAGTGAAAGGCACTCTGATTTCTGAATTGTTAATTAAGATATGTATAAAAGAAATAAGGTTCTAATTAGATATAATATTATAACGTCTTGCTGCATCTTTCACGAGATACACTATCTTTAAATGCAATATACATGTTTAAACTGATAGACTAAAGCAACTTTTTTGAACTTAAAGCTGATGCAAAGTTTCTAAATAAGTAACTTCAAATTCTCGTGAGTTAAATGAATTGGTTCTGATCTTTTACAGATTTTATCCTTGTGGAACCCAAAACTTTCCCTTGCCTGCGACATATTGAGGAACTGTTATGAAGCATTTGCACTCTATTCTTTTGGAAGTTACTTGATTGCTTGCCTTGGTAAGCACGATCTCTATTTCCAATGGTGTTGCAAAAATACGAAAGATATCTCAAGAACTTCCTATTAGTCTTGTATAACCAAATACCAGTGAATCAAAATATCTGAAATGTTTTGATATTTTAACCGTGGCAATAGTCAACCTTTCCCTTGGTACCTTTGACGGAAGAGGAGTTTCTCTAACTTAGCATGTTAATGGATGTGTTAAGTTTGTGGGGTCTACTACATGCAGTCCTTAAAAAAAATTACCAGAGTATAACTTGCATGATATGGATTTGTGGCAGGGGGTGAGCGACAGGTTGTTGAACTGCTCGAAGATGAATCGAGGAAACAAATCAGCCAGTCATTGCTAGGAGGAGAGGAGAAACCCGTGACACAAAAAAGGACGTTGTATAACTTCATTTTCCACCCATATGTCGTGGGGAAGCACTTGTTCACTATAGAAAAATTTGGTCTTGTACAATATGTATGTCAAAGGGGAAGAAAGTTCCATAGTTACGCTGCTGTACTCGGTATCTTCATACTAATGTCATTGTGTTCCACAGATGATTTTGAAGACGGTCAGTGCATTCCTAGCTCTTATGTTGGAGATTTTTGGGGTATATGGTGATGGAAAGTTTAACTGGCACTATGGGTATGCCATTTTCTCCATCTAAATTTTACGTATCGTATCAAATTGTGAAGTATGAGAAACAATTACACACATTAAGCACCACATATAGCTGTGTAATTTAAACACCATTAGTGTCATCACAGCTACATTTATCTGGATTCCGAAGGATCCTTCTTCAAAATGAAATCTGTTGACTGCCAATAGTTGATTAGCTAACTCATGTATAATTCTGTATTGCACTCGTTAATATCAAAGTTAATGATAGGGGATTTAATGTGCATTTTTTTTTTTTTTTTCAGATAATAAGGATATGATGAACAATTGATCATCAAAGCATTCTTCTTTCCTTTTTCATGTTGTTTAATGGTCATAATCATTCATTTTAGCTTTGAGACGTATCTTTCGGAGTTCCTATATGACACTCCTCATTTAGCATTCAAGTCCTTGTATCAGGATGAAGGTGCACCAAAGATCTCTTTTCCTCACAGCCACTTTCTCCTGGAACCAGAACCTTGATTAGCAGCAGCAGGAGCTAGCCTGTTTTCAGCATTTTAAAGAAAGTGAAATGATAGTAGGTAGTGAAAAATGCATTGTGTAAGATACAGAATGATATGACAGTGGATAATTCGAAACTCAATGTAGTTTACAATTGAAGAGGTCACAATTGTAAACTACCAATTGAAACTCAGTCTGAGAGATTGCAATTGTGACCTCTTCAACTGCAGACCTTTGACAAATTTATCATCAATTGGTAGTTTACAATAAATCAGTGCCTGGTAGCTCAATTTTTTTCTGTTATAGGACTTTGATACATGCTAAGGACATGACTCTAGATTGGAAGGTCTGGAGGTCGAAGGTTAGGTAGTAGGTTTGTAGGTGGCCAAGTGTTGTCGTACCGTGTGGGAGAGGCAAGGGGCTAGCCTCATCTCCTCTACTCCTTGTAGTAGTAGTAGTATTTAGTAGTTGTGTAGTTTCTTATTTTACAATGTCTTACTGTCTGTTGCTTTATTTGTCTTAGATCTTGCTATTTTGCTGTTATATTTTCTTGCAACCCTACTTTGATAACTTCACTTTTGATCCAAGGATCTATCGGAAATAACCTCCCTACCCCAAAAAGGTAGGATAAGGTCTGCATACATCCTACCCTTCCCAAACGCCACATGTGTGACTACACTGGTTATGTTGCTGTTGTTGTATAGGACACTGATATATCACTCTTGTCTGCTTATTTCTCCTTGCAGATATCCCTATATCACTGTGGTACTAAACTTCAGCCAGATGTGGGCATTATATTGTCTTGTCCAATTTTATAATGTGACTCACCATAAACTCCAGTCGATAAAACCACTAGCAAAATTCATTAGCTTCAAGGCCATTGTTTTTGCAACATGGTGGCAAGGGGTGGGTATCGCCTTGTTGTGTTCTTTAAGGGTGCTCCCAAAGGAACGGAAGTTCCAGACTGGATTGCAAGATTTTCTGATCTGCATAGAGGTAGGTATTCTTTGCTTTTTAATTCCATGGAAATGCTTCGAGTTCTATAGTCAGTGAAAGCTATAATATCTGCAACATCAAATCATCATCATGTGCTGAATGAAATTTGAACATGTAGGGGACATATTGTTTAGTAATTGGGCGAAGAAATATTGATTATCTGATGGTCGAAGAACAGTGAACAAATAAACTTGGCCCAGGTCTTATGGTTAAAGAGTTCTTTAGATGTGAAGGGCTACCGAACCTAAGGTCTTTTCTCTTGGATATTAGCAATATCATTTTTTTCACACAGAAGCTTTGAAGTGTTTTCCATCTTGAATAATCATGCTTTTCGATTTTCTTCCTTCTGATTTTGTACCTTAGTAGGTTGATTGAACTGGCACAATAATCCGCATTGTGAATCCCATTTAATACAAGTAAATTGTTATAAAAATATGATATGCTCAAAGTAAGACTGGAAATGCAATTTGGAAACTGATTTCATGAAGCACAATCTAAGAAAGTGGAAGATTTTATTGGACAAATGTTATTCATAAACACTTTTGGGAAATATGGTGTCATACTGATATCGAGACTCAGGTGATATCAATCACATGGTGTCTAGTTCTCCACTTTATTAGCTCAGTAAAAACTTCCCATTTAACAAGTACTATTACGTATCGGCCCTGAGATATTTAACTCTCATTTCTGCAGATGGCTATTGCTGCTATTGCTCATGTTTTTGTCTTCTCCTCGAAACCATATCACTATGTGCCAACATCTGTGTATGAAGATTTTACTGCCCAAAAGGCTGAAACAACTCTAAATATAGAAGATGGAGAGAAATCGGCCGTTGTTGAAAAGATAGAAACTAAGGTTGAGGTTCCAGGGACAAGTGTCAGAGAAAGTGTTCAGGACATTGTTGTTGAAGGAGGTCAAAAAGTAAGGCCTTTTCTGTTTTGTTTTTTTACCCCCGCCACCTCTTTGCTCCCTTGGTGACTCGAACTCACAGCCTTTAGGCTGGAGGTCGAGGGTGCTTACCATCTGAGCAACCCCTCTTGTCTAAAAGTAAGATCTTTTCAGCACTTGCTCATTTGTTCTTGAAGTATCATATCTAATTGCAACATTTACTAAAACCATTGAAACAGGTTGTGAAGGATGTAGTTTTGACCATAAACCAAGCGATGGGGCCGGTAGAGAAGGGTATGACAAAGATCCAAGAAACTTTCCACCAAACATCAGTCGATGATGAGGAAGAAGAAAAACGAGACAGAAATTATGATTGAAGAACAAGAAGAGAATTCATCAGGCGAAAACAAATATAAACGAGAGACGGAGATTAAGATTGAGGAACAAGAACATAAATTATCAAGAGACAACAGATCTCAGGTGTCTGTATCGCGAGATAAAACAAGTTAATAGACAAAAGATTGTCAATTCAGGTATTTAAATCATCATGTTCTTACTTAGCAGGACTTGTAGATAACAGTTTTTTTTTTCTTTCTGTTATTGGTAATACGTACATTTCTTACCTTTAGGGGAACCTTTTATAGAGTGCACATAGTGAGATTCATTATCATGTTTCATAAATTTATCTCCTCAAGTTACTTGTCTTTGTTTTATAGCAATAAAATCACTTTACGATTCATCATTTGTTGCTTTAAAAGTTACCATCGCCCGAAATTTACATAAAACCAATGGAAAATCCATTTGATATATTAACATGATCTCTGTGTAATAGTTGTTTGGATTCTTTAAATTGCAATGAATATCGTGTTATAAAGATCTCTCTTTTAACTTTATTCTCAAAAGAAATGCATCACTTTATTGTATGAGCCGTTATCTTTGGTAGCAGTGAATTTCACCTAAAGGTAATTTAAATGGCAGAAAGATTAACCACTCAATTGTTATACATTTTGCAGTTGAAGTTCACACAAGTAAAACTAGTAGTACGTATAGAGAGAAGCAAATGAAATATTTAAGGGGGTGTTTGGGTGGCTTTATGTAAGTTTTCGGAGAGTGTGACCGTTAAGAAAAATAAATAAATCGTTATGTGATTTTATCCTTATAAAATCAAGAGAAGTGACTTTAATAGATAAATTCATCAGACTGAATGATTATGTGAGAAATATAATTTATTTTCACGGATGTGCTTTTTCAGTATTAGATTACTTTTAAAATTTAGGTTTTAATAGATGATTAACAAAATTTCGTCAATAAATTTTGACTAGTTCAGTTGTTCAATAAGTAGGCGTTTAGACATGCATTTAATTGAAATTTGAACAGAAAAGTGTTTTTAAGTTAAAGTCGAAGTTAATTAATAATATTTGTAGTTAGAAATTATATTTGGGCATGCAATAACAATGTCTTGGAATATACACAAATGACTGCATATTCTCCTCTTTTTTTTTTTAAAGTTGTCCAACCTCTTAATAACGATTAACGAGTCGTTTGCCTGCAATAAGTAACTTTAGGAGATCTAAGAATACATGGCCGTAACCGTCAAATATTCTTAACTTTTATCAGGAAAAAAAAATTCAGAAAAGTATTTCTGTGTGACCAATTCATTTGAGAAATACTTTTATTCATTATTGATAAATAGATTGTATTTGACTTGTCTTTTTTTTAAAATACCTTTGAATGTCAAATTACGATAAGAACAAGCATAAAAATAAAAAAAATAGTCCTTTCTACAATACACGTAGTAATTATTCATCCACTTTCCAAGCGCTCTTAGCTTATAGTGATTGGATAAAAATTTTGTATCTTATTTTGTTGTCATGTTTGGAATAACTTGTCTCATCATTTACATTATAGTGATGAAATAAGTTATTCCATATATATGGTGGGATAAGTTATCCCAGGATAGATAACCCCAGGATAACTAATTTTGAAATAACTTGTTTCCAACCAAACGACCCGTTAAAAAGTGGGGACTAAGCACCCACTTTGGCCCTCACAAGCGATGACAAAGCACAATGATAACGGAACTATCACTAATCAACCTCGAAACTTGTGTTGACCTGCAGCTACTTGATAGTACTCAAGTGCAATCTAGGATAGGCTTTTAACATGATCTATATACTAGCATTTTTGTAAGTATCACGATCCAGACCGTCATGATTGACACCACACTAACCTGGTAGGAGAACCATTACTACAATCCAAAATAAACAACTCAACAAAAAACTAAGACATATAAAGATACAGAAGCAAGTTTAAATGACCAAAAAAAAAACGAAGTTCTCATAAATTCCAAAGGTTTAAACAAATAACTTAACCAAACTAATACGGAAGTCTTAACTCTTAGAACCTGAAAGTCATTGTACCAAAACTCTAACAAGGAATCATAAGTCTAAAGAAAATGGGTACAACCCAATTAAACATACGAATAACTAACTAGAAAGTCTGAATCCGAAAAGAGTAGACTAAAATATAGAGAACTCATGGCAGACTGAAAGAACTAGCTCACCCTTGAATTCGAATCGATCACTGATCTTCTAAACGAGGTCTGTTAATAGCCGCCTGAAGATGTCTTGTAAAAAGAGCAAGTGCAGTATCAGTATACAATCACAGTGTACTGGTAGGATCACGCAACTATCCTAATAAGTGAAACACATGCAAGTAACCACAACATTATAAAACATGCATATACCGAACATATACAATATTAGTCATCTCTTACGAAAAATGTACAATTTCACAATCCCAAGATAAACAATTATGCCAAGTCATTGGTCCTCTCACGGAACCCATACCCAAACTGTTAGTGTACCGATACGTGGTAACCGATCCAAGTTAGTGTGCCGGACGTGACACCCGATCCCATATATGTGCCGGACGTGGCACCCGATCCAAGTTAGTGTGTCGGAACGCAACACTCGATCCATTCAACAAGCCACAATCACAATCACAATGTACATTCTCATAATCATACAATCAAGTCATGATTCATGACATACAATTATTCAATCATTCTCATTTACAAATAGTGTGATCAATAATGCAACATTCGCATACATACATATATTATAAAGAAGTAATTACAAGTACATATCACACCAACATGAAATCACAACCATCACCTAGCTCGAACAAAGCTTGAATTCCCTAAGAAACTTGATTCTTCCCTTTTCGGATTCTTTCTGCTTGTTCTTGGTCTACAAACAATCATAATAAAGCGAGGATCAATAAACAAGACTTAATTACCCGGATTATAACCAATAACATCAACCCTAAGCCAAACCCTTGACCCCCATACCCAGGTTAGGGTTCCTTCCACCATAAATCACATATCAAAATCCTCCCCCATCGATAATTACTAAAGAAACTAAGTTCTACGAATAGAAAAGTGGATTCGGGAAGTGAAAACCTTACCTTTAGCCTAAAAAATGGTGGAAAACTGTCAAGAAAACACCTGGGGTCGTTCATTAGCTTTCAAAGTCAAAACTTGCAGAGTAAAATAATTTTGGGGTTTATTTCCGACTTAATTTGTGACTTACGCACTATGGCAGGCCCCATCCCGCCACAGTAGCCCCTCCTTAGCAGTGATAATCCCGTCACAGCGGCTTGTACGAAACCAGTGAGTCATTTAAGAGTTTCAAACCCCCATTTCACAACACACCTTCATCCCATGACACTCAGACAATACCCGTTCACGCTAAAATCAGTTTTGGGAGTTCTACTCGCCCGAACTCGATTTATTAAAGTCGTACTGATTCCTTAACGTCTTAGCTATCTACTCATGCAATCAAATTCCTTATTAAATCACCCAATCATTACCAGATTTCCCTAGACTCACATGACTCCGATTTCGTCCAATTTTGGACTAGGCTAGGAAATCCCAAGTTACTACGAAATTTTTTTTCTAACTTGTAACAAGCATCTCAAGTTCTAAATAGATAATCCCACGTTTTTCATCTCTGGATCTTGATTAATACAAGCTCTGTCTCGATCTTCAATAATATGTTTCTCTGCTTTTATCAATAGTTCGAGATAATATCTTAGATGGTCGTTCAACTTTGAGTTATTTTTTCATAAAGTCACTCAATTTTGGGTTTTTCTTTCAGAATGTCATTTAACTATGAGTTTTTCTCTTACAAAGTCACTCAACAATGATTTTTTTTCTTACAAAGTCATTCAACTTTCTTTTATAACCTCAAAGTCACTCAACTATAAATACTTTACCTACAAAGTCACCCAACATACTTGATTAATTTTTTCATTAAAATTTATTAACATGAAATTTTTATGTAAATCAAAATCATAAGAAAAAAAATATTCATTTAAACCATTTTGATGACTCAACCCGTTAGACCTTTTATTTTATCCATTTCCCACCTAAATTCCTAAAATATTATTTCTTGTCTAAAACTCTATGACTAGCATATACAACTTGATAGGGAGAACACTGACTAGTCTTCTAATGATCATGTTTCACAAAAACAACATGGTTTCAAATTGCTTGGTGAAACATAGTCAAAATCTCAAGGATTTTATTCTACTGTAAAACGCAATATATTAATTAATTCAAAACAGATGCATTCCAATCACACGTAAACTGTAATTGTCTCTAAAAAATTCAAAGTAATTCCCTAAGTCAGTTAAAAAAAATTCACCTTATTTGGGAGGAGATAATTATAGAGTTACATCTTGGAGATGATTATAATATTAGTTATATTTCAGTAATTATTAATTAAAATATTTTTTTTTAAAATTATGTATCTTAAATATTTATTAATATAATATTATTTATAAAGGTATATATTTATCAATATTATCTTTAATTTTGTTGAGGTATTTAACATATTCAAAACTACGAAGCCTGTTTATAAATAAATATAAAACATAAAAATCTAACTCATGCTCACAATTTTGGTTATAAATAAAAATTCAATGCTAGCAAACTTTAGTGAAAAATAATTAAATAGATTGTGTGACTTTGTAGGTAAGAGATATTCATAGTTGAGTGACTTTGATGTTATTAAAAAAAAAAAAGTTGAGTGACATTCTAAAAAAAAATATCATAATTGAGTGACTTAAAGAATCAATAGTTGAGTGACTTTCTAAGAGAAGAAGCCAAAATTGAGCACTTTCTGAGAGAAAAACTCAAAATTGAGTTTTTGAGTTTTGAGATATTCATACTCAATAGTTCGTAGCCGAAAAAAGAAAAGAAACACGATCAATCTAATTCACTTGCCCTCAACTCCATTTTACATAATTTAACTTAGTTTGCACCCACATGATTTTTCCTGCAAATAATCATGTCTAATTTAACATTATTCTTCTCTGATTATCAAACATGCAAATGTTATATTTCTACATCATTACAGTAAAGCAATTGGTAAAACTTGTATGTAGATAAATACATACATACTATTCACAAGAACCATGATACACAAAATGTATGAAACTGTATA